GTGTTGGCCTAAGGACATAGGCAGACAAGGTTCTTTGGGTAAATATGATTTCTTTTGTTAGACCAACTAATAGTTGGAAAAATTGTTCTTTGCAAGCTTTTAGGTACAAACACCCTTCTTCAGGCATAGGGAGAATCTGTTGTATCTTGCCTTATACTTAGATTTTAAGCTGTTTGGGTTGGAGGCCATCTTTCTCTCCTGTGTTTCTGCAGCACACAGCACAGTCGGGGTAGAAACAGATATTAGCTCTGTTTTGGGGGTTTTTTTGTGGTTTACACAAAGCGAAAGCAAACAGATGTCCATACCTTCTGTCACACCACAAATGCGCAAGTTTGTGGCCCTGATAGAGGCCAGGAATAAACTGGGGCACTTTATTGTGGCCCACATGCTTGTTCAGGGTGGAAGAGCTCAGGCAGCATGAAGCTGCCTGGGCTCTCCAGCCTCCCTAAGGCAGGAGCTCTGCAGGCTTGAGGGATCCAGTCCTGTACACCCCAGGCAGTATAGGCCCCTTTAAGTGATCTGGCATGCATTCCTAGCAGCAGCACACAGCAGGAGCTGCAAATAAGAGGGATTTTCCTGTGTGCACCTGCTAATACAGAGCGGGGAGCTCTGTGTGAGTTCCCCCTGCATGCTTGTAGGTGAGTGTGGGGAAATCCCTGGGATTCCCCTGTGCCCCAGTTAGGGCACAGTAACCAGGGACTTCTATAGATGTCCCTGGAGTACAATGAGCTGTGCCATGATATTCTATGAAGTATTATGAATCTATGAAATATTATGTAGCAGCCAATCACGTTTCACTGAAGATGTCTGTTTCCAGCCTGGGATCATAGTTCATGACTGGGCTCTTAAGTGCCTTGTAATAATAATAATCAAGGATGCTTAAATACAATTGCCCCTGTGAAAAGGTGTTGATAGCCAAACCTTGTTCTTCCTCTTTGCCAGGGAGGGGCAATTCTTTCTCCATGAGGGAAATAAATGGAGCAATACATGATCCAGTTAAGTTGATAAACAGTTATGGACCCAGTGAGAACTGGAACAGTTCTACCTGCATCCCAAGACTGGATAATTGATCGTTACCTGCTTCTGATCTTTTTGCTAACTGCCATCATTTTTGGCATTAAAGGTGATAAGGGATTGTCTTACATTTCTAGTAAATAAAAACTGCTTTACATATGTAATCTTGTGAATTGGTTGTGAACTCAGTCCTTTACCTACCACCAGCAACGTATTTGCCTATAAAGGATCTGTGTAGTTAGTGTTGTGTTATAAGCTGGTAAAGATAAATGGCAGGAGTTTGTGTCTCAGAAAATGTGTGGTGGCATTTGTGATCATATAGATTTAAAGGGAAACAGAATATTGGATGGAGAAGAGCAGCATGTGTGTTCAAGAAGCTGAGTGAAAGCTTTGTGCAGGTACTTTTTGGTTATCTTGTGTTGTTTCAGCAGCCTAGGAAAATGAGAAATGTAAATAGTATAAGACATGGCATGTGTTTACCAGTCAGTTCTGCTACTATTTCAACTTGTCTTCTGTTTTGCCTTTGATTCTCCTTGAGTCTTTCTGTGAGTTGGCATCAATTCAAGGAGAAAGGAAGGCATCACAGACAGCAAACCTCTTAAAAGTCTGGGACAGCTTGCTGGAAATCTGGTATCTGGTGGGAAAGGTGACGTTACAGTCTAGGTGTTTCCTGTATCTTGTCTGCTGGTTTTTGTTCAAACAAGTTGTAGTTCCTACGTGCTTGTACAAATGAATTATTCTACAAACAGGAAGGGAGTGCTAGTGAGAGAACAATATTAAGTTTATGGGTAGAGACAGAACTGTCACACACTACAAATAAGTATTACTTATTGGTACACTATAACTAATAGTATTAAAGAATTTAGTCTAGATTCAGCACTTAAGCATGGACTTTGCAGTTATGTGCCTTTAAGGTTTGAAGCTAACTATGATGCTATTCAACAGAACTTTGAGGTGTATTGCTCGCTGCACAAAGATGACAGATATGTTTTACTCAGAGGGCACAGAAGGTCAGCAAAATTATGAAAGGCTGAAGAGTCAATCTTGGAAGTTTTTGAAAGAGAAAGGTTAACACCGTGATTTCCTTGCAAAGCATGAAATTGTGACTGGGATCAGGAACAAAAATAGAGACTACTGGAAAATCTAGTGATAGCTCTTGACAGATAATATGTGGAATTGTAACCAATGGAATTGACCAGTTCAGAATAAAAACAGATTGTAGAACTTGCCAATGCCTGCAAGCAATGCAGTGTGCTTTGGCTTGATACTGCGTGATACTGTGTGGACACAGCACTGATGCAAGTGACTCCAGCATGAACACTGAAATAATTATTGCTACTAGAATTCTTGCTATTGTAACTTCTGTATAGATAAGGGCTAGAATTGTTACTGGTCCATTTCTGTTCACTTATTTAAAAAGACATCAAGAACACACCACACTGCTTTTATTTTCATACACAAATATAAATAAAAATATTACACTTGTATATGTAATTAGCGATTCAACTTCTGCTGTTTTGCTGCTATATACCAGTTTTGTAATTAAAAAAAAAAATTATTAACATATATTTTAAGTGTTTTTTCCTCCCTAAGGTTTATATTAAAATCTGTTTCCTGTGCCTCCTTTTTATTTCTCTTGTTATATTTTATTCGTATTCACTCCTGTTAATAAAAATACACACTAATTGTTTAAATAGATTAGATAACCAGATTGCCCATAAATTTGTGCTTTGAGCTGGATGGCTTCCAAAGGGTTCAGACAGAAATAACATCTGAAACGTTTCAAAGGGCTTTGAAACGCCTTTGAAACATTTCAAAAGGCTACCATACAGATGTATAAGTGGGATAAAAGGCTCCTAAGTGTGACAAAGTAATGCCTGCAGGGAGCACGTACTATGGGAGCAGGTACTATTTAATAACATTTTGTTCCACTGACTTGTCCGTCCTCCAGTATTCCCAAATACAGTGACTCTCCTCCCCCTCCTCCTCCCCCCAACTCCCAGCATTTTGATCATTACTGCATACTCACCCCACCTCCACCTCCACTCCATTGCACTTTCTGCTTCCTGGGATGTTCCCTGGGGCTCCAGCACCACGGCTGTGGGCACTGGGGCTCCTGCAACTTTTGGCATTCTGGACCCTTGCTGCTCCCTGTACATCAGTGCCAGGGCTCCTGGCCCTGGGGTGCTCCAGTCACCAGGGCTTGCAGAACTTGTGACACTCTGGAAACCCCAGAGCACCCAGGTGCCTGGAGCAGCAGCACCCTGATTGCTGAGAGCCCATGCCTTGGATGCAGATAGCTGTTTCCTGGCTGTTACCTCACTGAAGCCTCTTGCACTCCAGCATTGACAGTCTTTTCCACTTTTATGGAAGGAGGTGCCATGGAGTTCTCCAGGGACAGTGCTTTCTTGAGACCCCTGCAGCTTTGTTGGTCTTTAACAGTGTCCCCCAAAGCCAACCCAGGCTCCTTTCTACTCTAAGACCCTGGCTTTTTGGTTCTTCACCCTCCCTGGTTCTCCAGGGCCCTGATTCAAGAAGCTAGCTTCCAGTTCAGCTCCTGAGAGAGGGACTTTACCCCTTCTTGGAGAGAACAAATGCAACTAAAGTTATAAGCATTAGACAGTTTCACATCAGTAAAGACAAAGGCCATCCCACCAGAGGTTCTCTGCCTTCCACAAAGAGTTAAGCAGTTCCCTTGCCCCAAATCCAGCCCACATAGCCAAGAGCAGCCCCAAGGAATGCTCTGTAGTTCTTTTTCCAATCTGCCCAGCTCCTGGACAGCTTATGTTCCTCTCCATACTCTGTCCCCAATCAGAGTATGTCAACTATTATGCTCTGTCAACTATTATGCTCATCTCATTCAGCTTCCCCCCAGCCTCCTGGGTGTTGTCTATCTTCATGTGTAGATGTGTCAAAAAGCTGTGCCAGTCTCTGTTGATGCTAGAGGTGCCCCTTGTCTTGTCCCACAAGTAGGCAGATCTCTTACTTCACTGACTCTTAATCCATTCATTCCCCATATACTAGCTTTAGTGATAAACTGAGGCATACAATATTATAACAACATAAATGTATTTAAAACAGAATTATCACAATAAATCCATAGTTCATCATAGGAGCAGGAAGCACCAGCAACATGCGACCACAGAGACTGTCAAGTACTTTAACTGGAAGACACAACAGGAGCTGCATGACTCTCATGCAGCAGAAGCACAATGTTTAAAAAAAGTTGCTAAGTGTGAAACATTTAAAATGGTATGTCTGCATCTGCCCTAACTAGCTTGACTTGAAATAGTGCTGAACACCTGCTGTATCATTGAATAAGACTCTTTCCAGCAATATCAGCACTTAGGGTCAGAATGATGTGGTCAGTGAGAGTTGAGTCGGCTCAGTATCCTTTGGGAACAGTCATTCTCCCTAGTTGCATTCTGTGGTGATTCTCTACTGAACGAAACACCCTTCAATAGCATTTGAGACCATATCTCCGCTAGCAATATAACATACTTTTTTATGCATGTTAAAATCCTTGTGAGGACATTTTTTTCTTCATTTGTATCATATTAACTGTTTTCAATAAAGCACGAGGGTCAGGGGGTGCAGGTGAAAGCTGAAATTTACTACACTTGGCAAATATGTGAAAACTTAAAAAAAACCTTGTTTTCACTGGGACTCTGATGTACTGTCAAACATGTTAAAACACAAATTCATTCTCTTGTAGAAAAATAAGCACAATTATACTAATACCAAGCTCTTAGTATTTTTTAAACACTAGATGTCAACGTTCCTTACAGAGGAGGTAAGTATACTTGTCCCCATTGTACGGAATGGCAAAGCTAGTCCTTTAAATCAGGTCTTCTGAGTTTCTGAGGGCCATGCTTTATTCAATGAACCAGCCAGGTTCCCAAATTAGCACCAAAACACTGTCAGAAATGACAAGATAGATTTAGAGCTTTTGGTATATGCACTAACATTTACGTTTTCTCCCACAGGAACTTTTTACACCGGAGTGCAAGTTTAAGGAGTCTGTTTTTGAAAACTATTATGTAATCTACTCATCTATGCTGTACCGACAACAGGAGTCTGGTAGGGCTTGGTTCCTGGGGCTTAATAAGGAAGGGCAGGTCATGAAAGGAAACAGAGTGAAGAAAACAAAACCAGCAGCTCATTTTCTACCCAAGCCATTGGAAGGTGAGCATTGGTCCATCACAGCCAGATATGCTGAAATATTTAAAAGTCTTCCCCTTGAAGTTCCTAGTATGACAAAAGAAAGGTGAAGGGTTCTAAAATAGCATTTCTGAATGTGCTTGGCACACAGAGATGCTACTTCATATGGCAGTTTCCAAGATTTATGGAGAGTTTTGTGCTCCAGCACAGTGTGCACTGGAAAGGGCACATGTAAAATGGCCTTCCATGGGATTAAGAGGTCATTTTATTAGCTGAAGTGAAATCTTTTTTTGAAGTGCATTGTGCTGTTTCAAAACTATGTTCTAGTAGGAGCCCAAATTGTTGTCAGTATTGCAGTGGGAAAAAAATATTCCTTTCATTATCCAGAATAATGCTCTAAACAATAAAGTATGCTTTAGGAAAAGTATACATATGGGGAGGCATGAATGGAATAGATGAAATGTCAGCAATCTAATTTAAGAGCTTCCTAACACAATGTTTATAAGCTAAAGCATACTGCAATATTGAGCCGATGATGTATTGCACACATGTGCATGCCAGCCTTTACACTAGTTTAGGAAAAGGGAGTAACAAATTATGTCTTTAGTTGTGCTAAACTTATAGATATCATGCATTATCTGGCAAAATGTGCTCATTTATATCTTGAATATGGAACTGTCCATTTGTCCTACTTATTCTAACATTTTTTTTATCTGTACTTGTTTGTTTTCTTTTACACTCCAGATGTCATTCAGTTTGGTGCAGCTTGTTACTCATAGCTGCAGCTGTACTGAAAAGTGTCTCATTAGTTAACATCTTTAAAAAAATAGGCTTTTCTGAGTAATGATTTTTATCAGCAGTGTCATTTGTCTCCTGCGATTCTGAGATAACTGTAATGGAAAAGGTGTGGAATAGATTTTGAGGAATTTCAAACCTAACTCATGTTGTGTGTTACATTTTCATTATGCAGAGCAAAATCGTCCCAAGAGCCCTGAGTGGCTGATAGTCACTTCACATCTCAGCTTAGGTTGATATAATTTTGCGTTCCTATTTCTTGCGGTGTAGGTAGCCTTTTAAATGTTCACAATCCTTCAGCACTACCTGGAGAGAAACTTCAACCCTATATAATAACTAGACCAGGGGTAGGCAACCCCAGCCTGGGTGCCAGAGCATGGCATGTGAAGGCATCTTGCTTGGTGCACACGCCTCAGGGCAGATAGCAGGGAAGGGGCCGGGGCTGTGTTGTGACAAGGATCTGGCCTCTTGTGGCTCCCCAACTATCCACTCTGGTCTGCCAACATCTTATAAGTCAAGGTTGCGGGTGCTTTTGGCACTCCGCCCAGAAATGTTGCTGACCCCTGAACTAAAAGTTAGCATAAAAAAAAATGCAACTATATTTTTAAAGCAATCGCTACACAGTCAGATTAGGGAAGAAGTGTTTTTTCCAGTAGGGTATGTCATCACTGAGATGTGTTTTCTCAGACTTTCTTTTGTTATTAAAATAGCTTAAGCAAGGCTTAGAAATAAGTTGCTTTATATTGCCTAAGAGGGTCATCAAAGATTAGAGCTATGCTATGTAATTCTTTTCCCTTATGGTTCTAGTGTATGTTATTTCACTTAATATTTTTGTAGGTCATGGTGTTATTTCATCATGTTCCTAATTAGTCAGCAAACCAAAGTGTCCTGAAAACAATTATGGGGGTGCACTCTAAAGACATAGACCATCACCAGTGCTACGTACCCTAGAGAAGAAATTTAATTTCAAACTTTCAAAAGCCATAAAAGGATTTGGACTATGTCATTGGGAATGTTAGAACAAGTTAAGTACTTGATTAGTTAATGATGTTATGGGCCCTTCTTATCTATTATGAAACTTCTCAACATTGAAGATCAAGGTCAGTTCTTTGATGCTACTGACTCCTATTCTAATTAGTCAAGGGAAGAAGGGATTGTACTCTCTGCAGAAACACATAACTTCCCCCAAAACCGATGTGCAACAATTAATTCTTTTGACTGCTTTGACATCTCTTTTAGCACTGCTCTGATATAAATAAATGCTACCAAAGTTACATGGAAGTGAAATATTACCTTATTCAGTGACGTGGAAAATGAATTATCCACCAGCATTAATCATTAAAAGGCAGCTTAAAGCTGGAACTTAGTAATTGAACATAGGTATTTTCCAAAAAGGATTTTAAATTGTTAGGCTCCTGTTGAGGCCCAGTGGGCTATCTTAGCGCTTCTATAAGTTCAGTTAATAGTTTAGATTTGAAGTATTCTGCATTTCAAAATTCCAGCAAGTATCAGTGGCTATGAGCTGTTTTTGGCCATATAACACAGAAACTTTTAGGCAAGAAGAAATAAATCACTACTAACTGAACTACTTTTGCTCTGTTTGCTCTCTGGAACCATTCCTGGCATACTTCCAGCGCAGCCTGAACACTAGGCCTAGATTTTCCCATTAGGAGTTGAACACTTAAATATTTTGAAGGTTATAGGCCCAAGTCCCTTGTAGGGATGTAGGAGTGAAAGGAATATCCTGGGTCACTGCTGCTGGTCCCTTGTTAACTCAGGAACCATGTCATACATAGTCATTTAATCCTTTTCATAAACTGCTCAAGTGCTATCTTTTAGTCTCCATCTGTCTAATCTCATCAGGTTTTGTTTTATTTAAACATTCTGTAATTTTGTCTTTAAATGCATCTTTCTTTAAAGTCATTTAAAGATGAGGATGAATGCCATATATTAACTAGACTGTGAGAAAAATATGAAAGTAATATAATGATTGCTTAAATGATTTTTCCTTAATTAAAAATTGAAGCTTATGATTGTGAGACTGTCACTTCAGTTTCTGACACTGAAAATTAATGTTCTCATGGTATTTGATAAAGAAATCACTTAATGATCTACACAAATGTCTAGAATCCTTAAAAATGTAATCAGAAAATTCAGTTTTGACTTAAATTATCTTGTAATGAGACAGTACAGTGCCTGAGGGTTTCAGCTGAACATTTTTCTGTCTTGTATAAATGAAGGTAGAACAACTGTTTCTAATTTCTTAAACTTCTATAATTACATCATAGTCTTCTTTTCAAAAACAAGGTACAATTTCCTGCTGCACTTGTTAGTCAGATGTGATGAACAAACACAGAATGAGATGCTTGACTGGGAGGGCAAATATAATAGTGGTTTAAAGCAGATGGTTCCTTTCATAGTAGCTGCTCTCCTTCACAACAAGACTAAGGGAATATTAAAACTTTTTTTATTGGAACAATGATATAAAAATGAACGCTACTGATTTTTTTTTCAATCTGTCTTCTTTCCTCTATTAGTTGCCATGTATCGAGAACCATCTTTGCATGATATTGGAGAAACAGTGCCAAAGGCTGGGGTAACTCCAAGTAAAAGCACAAGTGCATCTGCAATAATGAATGGAGGCAAACCAGTTAACAAGAGTAAGACAACATAGCCAGATCCTCACAGGTGTTATGACTTATTGAGCCCCGAGTACAGTTGAGCAATTTATCCTTTCCAGACTCTCCTACTGTGGTGTCTAAAGATCAGCTTGAGGCAAGTGAATACTTGTTCTTTGCTGTTTCTGAACTAAGTTATTGCGAGTGGATGAATCTCAACATGTAGCTCCACCCACAACGAGAAGACACCTGGATAACCAGCTAAACTCAGACCATGGAATGCCCTACCAGATATGGAATGCCTTTTTAATATCTTTTCTGTGACTGTGACACTTCATGTGAATGACATACTTCACAAGTACACTTGATACCTTGCCTGCTGACAGTTACCCATAATCCCTTTTTGAGTCCAGTTTCAGCGAAATCCATGTGTTTTAAGTTCCATTTTGTAGCACACAAATAATATCAAGTAATTTCTAGTTAGACGCTGTAAACCTGTGCTATTATGGATTTCTCTTCTTCCCTTTTTTACAAGGCTGCTCGCTCCACTGTCTGTGACCTTTTGCAGGGATTGTGTTTCTCGAAAACTTAAGTGTTGCAGGTGGCTTAGTTCTGAAAGCAATCAGGGAATCAGGAAGCCTTCAAAAACCTACTATTATAAATTATATCTATAAAGAATAGAATTGTCGTCTCTGGCTTACAATATTGATTAAATGTGAATACACTTTAGTAACAGATACTGTGCTCCTGAGGTTGGCATTAGTATGGAGGGAAAAAGTGTCAAACACAACCAGTAGAAAGTTTTCTGAGACTAGTGTTTGGCATCCCCCTACAGTTTTTTTTTTCTGTGTGTTTTATACATATCACAAGCTTACTGGAAATGGTAACATTTGCCTTGCCCAGCGAGCGAGACCCACTCATTTTTGGGAAAGTGGGTCCAAAGAACTCTGTAGGCCTTGTAGGCCTGAATTAAGGCTCATTTTTCATCTACTAATCCTCATTATTTGAATAAAACAATAATTAAGACTAACAAGAATTGCGCTACCTAAATCCATCTCAAGTATAATACTTTCCTGTTTTTAATGAACTAAACTTAATGCCATCATTCTTTTTGGCTGTATTCCACTCTTACTCAGCAAAGCATGGACAAGGATATTTTTGTGTTCTTTTTGCAGCAGCAATGCAAAGGGTAGTTACAAATTATAGTTTGTTTTTGATGTTTAAAAAAACCCCAAGTTTTAAAACTGGACATATTAGAAAAATTTTATTTGACTTATTTATTTTTTAGCTCAGCATGTGGAGTCCAGTCCTATGTATTTCACCTGTATCCCAATACATACCTCTAACCCAGCTTCTTAGGATGTGCCCACCAAATTGCTAGATTAAAGGTGCCTTGCCTTGATCTCTGTATACTGTACTTTCTCCTACATGAAACTAGAGGAAATTTCAACTCATTTTGAAATTGAGTCCTTGGATCATATTCGATTGCTTCATGAGAACCATTGTTGACACTTCGTTGGTATCAGTCAAAAGCAATGAAATGAATTTAGAAAAAATAGGAATATGTTTTTGTCAATACAGCAAAGATGCCATTAAAGTGTTAAATCGTGTATGTAAAAAGTTTCAAAACACAGAGTTGCATACCTTTAAAAAACTAAAAATATGGGTACTGTGAGTGTGCTTAATAGGCATTTGCTTCTTAGAAAGAGTGACAAGGACCAAACTGTACCTCAGTTCTGGAACACTGTGTGGTAATGCTGTCTTGGCCTCTTGCTGTTATCATGGTGTTTAAGAGTGACAAAAAAACAATCATTCCCTTTTTATTTCCATAACCCTAACAAATTATTTTTTTTCATGTTTATTTTTACACTTCACTCCATAACTAGCCACTGGTTGTTTCAAATACCCAGCCTGCTTAGCTGAATACTGATTCAGTCTCAAATCTTTAGGCTTATGCAATTTTCATACAAGGGTCTGTTTGAATAAGTAACACTTATGAGTAATATTTTGTTCAAAAGATTGTTGTAATGCTGATAAATTACAAATATACCAAATGATTCTTCTGGCAGTCCAGTTCCTCGGTTATAGACACTGCCTGAAACAACAAACTAATTGCTGAAGGTTGGTTCTATTTTAAAGAGATGGCTGAAGCACAACAGCAGGAGTTTAACTAAGTATTTTAGGGTTGTTGTTTTTTTTTAACTAAAGACACACCTACTTTAATGCTGTGGCAAAATATGCACAGAGAAACCTGGGCCCAAATTAATCCCTTGCCCAGTGCCTCTAATGGAAAAAATCTCCATGAGAAACTGCTGGTGTTTCCTCACTACCCCATTCTCATTCTGTTAACAGAAGAGGTTGTTTGCCATCCCCAAACAAAATAAAAGCTCCAGAGTTTACTGTAGTCCCAGTCAGTGAGTGAGAAGCCAGAAGTATCCATGTTGGGCACTGCCTTCTGCCTGGTTCATTCATGCAGTGATGCTGGCTGGCATTGCAGTAACTAACTCACCCCACCATCGTAATCCTGCCCCTCCCAGATTTAAGAGGGAAGGTGTGTGAACGAGATAATACTGCTGTTGGTTGCATTAATTTTTTGGTAGATTTTTTTCCACAGGGCTGGTGTATCCACATGCATTCATTCCCTCTTCTAACCAGTCTTTATCCACTTCAGCACAGATCTGGAACTACAGAGAGACCTCCACAGGGTCCAGAGGGTAGAGAGTTAGTGCCACAGACCTGGTTAAACTATGCACTGGGGATCCAGAGGGCACAATCTGGCTGGCCATATGCATACCATTTTCAAAATTAAAACTGGCATCTTGGGCAGCTATTGTTCTGCCAACAATTTGAAGGATTAAACAAAAGCTGACTTTATTTTTGTAAATGACTAGCACATATTGGAAATGTAACATCAGTTTTGTTTGCACTTTTTGTTCCCTTTTCTTAGTTAAAACAGGTTATCTATAAGGGTGTTTAATCCAATGAATGGATGTCTTTAAACAGTTTCTTCTAAAATACATTTAAACATAACAAAGGGGTTTGTTGTTTGTACTTCTGTTACTTCCTTTAGTTTTGTCTCTTGTCTCATCTGTTGCATGGGAAGAGGATGGCAATGATGAACTGCATGTAGTAGGCTATGTGTATCAAGAACTGTTGGTATATATTACTAAATTTACATACATATATGCAAAGAGTTTGTCTGCATTGTACAGTTTGTGTTTATTATCATTTGTTGTATACACAGGTGCATCATACTGAATAAAACATTTATATGAAAGCATATTAAAAAACAAAAAAATATGTAAGTAGAATGTGCAAAATAACACTGCACTGGCCCCAATTTAGTGAAACTTAATGTAATTAGGTTGGCAAACTCCGTTTTCCCTTTTACCATGCCAAAGAAAAGTTTAGGTCCTTGATAGAATACCTCTCTTGCTGTTTTCCAGGATAAGACTTCACCATTTTGTTCCCCCTAAAATTAAGTTTCCTGTTAAAGTGAAAACTATTTTCAACTATCTGTTACTACTAAAGTACTGTATAGTAAACCTGATGGAATTGATTTGTATTTACGGATTGTGTGTTTTGTAATTTCATGTACAGCTATGTATGAGTCTGCCAGGTGTTTTGCATGCTTTGTTTTGTATTTTTGCTCCTTTCTTTCCAATTTATCTAATCCCAGAGAGACTGGTTTGCACAGTGGTCCAAGAGAGATATTCCAATCTTTTCACCGTCACATAATACATGTGCCCATAAAATAGAGAGGTCTTATATTTTCATTTTACTGCTGAAAAGCTCATTTGTATTTCAGCTAAAATTTTATTTGGCAAGATCTCAGTCTCTCTTAAACACAGACACATACACATCAAGTTCTAGGAAGATATGAACAATTTGAACAAAGTACTATTTTTCCTGTTTTTATAAAGCCTTTTATGAATTATAAATGCAGTGGAATCCTTAAAAGCTTGCATACATTATGGATTCTATAGAAAGGTTGCTATAGTTTTTTTCATAAATGCTTTGTAGCCTACCTAATGTTTCTGTTGCTTTCTTACTGTTCTATTTTTGAAACCACACTCAAATCAGCAGAATTATTATGAACTGTTTTTTTCATCCATTTAAATCAGCTCATTAGACAGGTCTAGAACAAAATCCACCCCCTCACCCAAACCCTCCCCACAAAAACAAAAGGATGGTCTTTCACAAAGTATTTACGTGAAAGACTTTTGGAAAGCTCAAGCCTTTTTACCAGTATTAAGATAAATTCCCTGCTGGTGTAATGCTGCTGTAATCAATGAAGTATGCTAGCAGAGGGTGTGGCCCATGCATTAAAAGTCTGTCTTGCTGATCCATCTGTTCTTTGGTATAAAGCAGACATATTCTGCTCTATTCAGCTGAGAATGAAAAAGAGCCATAAAACTAGATAAAACAAGGCAATTATATTTCTATTAAATGCCCCTTTGGATAAATACATATTCTGTGCAGTGCATTTCAAAATGCCTATTACAGTATTTTTTTCAGGATGACTAATGCAAATGCTATGATTTTTTTAAAGTAATAAAATCTTTGTTCTATTACCTAGTCATAGAAATATTCAACTTAGCTTTATTAATCCCCAGATCATGTTTTGAAATATCACTTAAAGTAAGTGTGTTCGAAGAAGGAAAAGGGCAGTGAAGCAAAGACACCAAAACAGGCTGGGATTCATTTCCAGAGAATTTGGCCAAAAAAAAAAAAAAAGATTACTACAGGGTTTACATAAGCAAGTCAATCTATGGCAAGTTTATGACTGACACCAGAAGTGATAGGTCATACAATGGTTACAATCCTAAAAAATGGCGTAAATATACAGAGGAGTAGCAAAATGTACTTCACATTTGCGTGCTTTTATCACATTAATGGAGGGCTGTGTTATCTTTCATGTTCACATTTCCAATATCAAACTCCCTACTTAACAAACTAGTTTTCTTATCCTGAAATTATTTTTGCCATAGACCTGGAAGTAGGATCTGCACCCCCTAGCTAAGAAGCACCAACCTTATTAGTGTATACAGATTACATAGCCAAAATGTGTCATTCCTTCACACATCTTTCTGTTTTTACATGTTCTGTCATTAAAATTCTCATCACAGGGGTTGTCTGAGGTGTAAATTCACACTTTACTAGACTAGATAGTATTCTCACATTTGTAGAATAACAACATTTACCTTCAGGTCTTTTTAATTCCAGTCTTCTTCTTCTCATGTCCTTGTCATCAACTTTTAGTTGATGACAAGGTATTTAGCAGAGTTGAGCAGATTTGTTGGAATCTGACAGGGGCCACAATGTGAACACTTCTGCCATGGCCATTATGGCAGTTGGTATTATTTCTAGTAAGGGGAACGAGCCTCGTAAGTGATCTACTGATTATGAGGGCTGTGCAAAGCTTTGGGTGGTGATTCGATCTGGAGAAGATCTGGCCTGATTCGGTGGCCAAAGCTCCAAATCCCAATTGAATCAGGGGACCAATTAAAAGGTCCAAAACAATTCAAAGCTCTCTGAATTTTTGGAAAAGATTTAGAGAGCTTTGATGATTCAGACAGTCCCTGGTAGCTGGCAAATAGGAAGTAGGGTAGGGGGGGGGTTGGAGGAGGAGGGAGGGGACCATGGGGGGACCCCTGGAAGACCCCATCCCCTGCCTGCT